ATTACATGGGTAAATATGCAGAAGGGGGGGTGTGATCTGCATCGGTGCACAGACACCGGGGCCCGGCACTTGCAACGTGTGTACAGAGGAATGAATATGTGCTCTTAGGTACTAAATCCACACTGATCAGCTTATCTGGACTCGCAGGCATCAGGCACAAACAGCCCCAGCACTCGGTGCCTCTGCTCTGTGTGTTGTTGCACACAGAAGGCACTGCAGCGTGCCCTGCTTTCCATTCAGTGCCTGCTGACAGTGGCTGCACCTCTAATTCACCTGCACAGGCAGGCAGGGAGGGGGAGGGAGGGAATCACACCCCGCTGAAAATCTCTGATTAGCTGGAGTCCCATCTCAGGTTACCAAAGGTTCCAGTGTTTTGCCTTTCGGTGCTGTCAGTCCCCCCGCCCCTCCATAATCTGCAGGAGTGGAGGATTTTCAGCACCTTGGCAGATTAAACCTCAAGAGCAAACCTGTCGCCCAGGTCTTTGTCATGCAAACTTGAGGCCAAGTTCAATAACATCCTGTGACTCTTCTGCATTGCGGAAGCCTTGAAAAATTGATTTTCTGTTTTGCCACTGAGTTCAGTGGAACCAGGCTTCAGCCCTCCGAAGGAACTGTCTTCCTGTGGATTGTAGCTGCTTAATTTCACATCCTTAATTAGTCAGACTTCGAGACAGATAGGCCAGGAAAGGGTGCAGACTTTGCTGGGTGTTGTTGACCTCTGCTGGGTTATTAACTCCCCTTATGGTCTTGCAATGCTTTTATTTTTTTTTTTCCCCCTTTGAAAATGCATTTCAGAGATTGAAAGGCCTGATCCAAAATGTCCAGGAATAAATACAAGTCTTTGTATTGATCACCAGAAAAGGATTTTAAAGGGAGTTGGTCACTGTTTACAGCAGGAATGTACTTTAAACAGAAACAAGGAATGTAATCTGTTAGGGCAACATTAATCCAGGGAAAAACACTCTCTGGAGCGGCCAGAGCTTGTTAACACAGCAAACACCTAAGGCAGCACTGTGTCTTTAAGCTCTACTAATATTGAACAATAATAATTTCGGTGGAAGAAAATCTTCCCCTCTCCCTGAACAGAAACAAGGCTCATTATTGACTGCCATCAGCAAAGATGAATGTGCCGGCCCTCGGAGTCCGTTAATATTTGATGCTGATGGGTGGGAGCTGGCAGCTGAGTTATTAGTGGAGTTTGGTCCCTTGGACCTCACCCTCAATCCACAGGGGAGAATTAACCATAACACAGGGTGCCCAAACCTCTCGGGGTGCTGGGAAGGGCTGTGAGGAACAGCAACAAGGAGTGTTTCTCAAGTACTTACGGGCGGGGAAGGTCGGAGGTGGAGCTGCTTCCATCCCTGCCACCGTTCATTCTGATTTACAGGGGGACTTTTCAGTCCCCTTTAGGGTCACAGGGATTGAGGTGCCCCCATCAGGTCTGGATTTCAAACAGAAGGAGGCTCAGTGAGCAGCTGTGGGGATGTGGGACACCCCGGCCCTGGTGGCACCTCCCACGCTGGGAGGTGAGTGATGCAGAGCAGGGGGCAGGGATGAGCTGCTCCACACACAGCAGGGCACTCCCCAGGGCTGGCCCTGACCCCACATCCCATTGTTTTCCATCATTTATGTTAGATCTGGCCCCTAAAATTAGAAGTAACACATTGGGTAGATGTCAGGGGTATGTTTTGATAGACTGGGCCTTCTCAGTGAAGATGATGATGAAAATGAAGACTGTGATGTCCATGTGGGTCACTCTGACTTGGATAATAGAGATGTAAAATATCAAGTTATTTATAGCTCAATTTCTTAATGCAACTCTAACATTTTCAGGGCTGTATGTGTGATTGAACCAGCTACTCCTTCCTAGCAGGGATACCACATCCAGGCATTCGCTGTCCTCATTAACCTCCCGATCTTAATAGAGAAAAAAAAAAAGAGAGAGAATAATCAACATAAGGAGCACAGCTGTTGATTAATTTTACTAAATAGGATAGAAATATAAAGTGCCATATTGCAAGAGTGAAGATTCAATACAACACATTTGAAATCAGTTTTGTTAGAATATATAACTCATTAACAGCTGGATAGACTTGTACTGCAGCATTATCCACTTGGGCAGGTGGTGAGAGGGAGGGAGAATTTACATATCTCTAACAGTACCTGAATGCATTTAATTTCAGAGGTCATTCTCCCAAATCAAGTTCAAAATGTTAATAACAGGGTGTGCATTTATAATTAACAAAATCTTAGAGCCAGTGCTATAGTTCAAGTGCATTTTCCTCTTATGTAATTAAGAAGTTAAGTGTATTTGGCAGTTGTCACTCAGAGAGCTCTGAAGGTCTTGCTTGTCAAACCTGGGGATAGAAATCTCATTAAGCCAGGTATTTTTTTTTTTTTTCAGTTAAGGTTTGTTTGCAAGGTAAGTGTGTAAGGTGGTGGGCAGCCAGAATGCCCAGCCTCTGTTAGTCCAGAAAATAAAGCACATTAAAGTAAATGCCAGAACTGAAAGCCACAGTGAATAGAGATGGAACAGCCTGGTGTTCAGCTTGTAAGAATCACAGAACCATCTTTAAAGGTGGAAAAGACCTCTGGGGCCACCAAGTCCAGCTGTCAGCCCAGCACCAGCACTGTGTTCACCACTAAACCGTGTCCTCAAGTGCCACATCCACATGTTTTTTGGAGATTCCCAGGGATGGTGACTCCACCACTGCCCTGGACAGCCTGTTCCACCACTTTCTGTGGAGAAATTGTTTCTAGTATCTAATTTTAACCTGCCCTGGTGCAACTTCAGGCCACTTCCTCACCTTATTGTCCTGTCACTTGTTACTGGGAGAGGAGACTGACACTCACCTCACTACAACCTCCTTTCAGGGAGTTGTATCCCTTTGCTTTGGGATGTCCAGAGTGTGTTTGACTACCAAAAACCAGGGAATCCGTCCCAGTTGGGCCCTTGGCCGGGGAGAACTGACCCCCAGCAAGATCTGTTCTGCAGTCACAGAGCATCAGCTGAGGAACTGGAAATCCACCTGCTGCCTCCACCCCTGGCCCAAGTGGGTTTTTAGATGTGTCTGGATGTGGCACTTGAGGTTTAGGGGTGACTGATGGTTGGACTCAGTGATCCTGAAGGTCTTTTCCAGCCTTGGTGAGTCTGGTCGGTTAATCTGCTTCCCGAGGGGATATTTTAGCTCCGCATCACTCCGTTCCACTTTCCTTTTCAAAGGAATTTTCTTTTCCTTCTGGATCACTGGTTCAAATCCAGATAAGGTCAGTTGTCGTAGAAATCATTGGCAGTGCCAGCAGTCCTGCGTCGTGCGTGGAATGAGTTGGGAGTTTCACTCACCCACGGTCCGGGTCCCTAAGTGGCACTAATTGGCTGTCTAATTGTCAGAGGCAGGAGGAAGGCAGAGGATTGATTAGGCGTGGAGGCTGAGTGCCCCTCTGCCAGCCCCGCTTCCTGGAGCTCATTCCATAGGCATGCTGGCAGGGTAATGAGGGGCAGCCTGCTTTGGATTTGCTGCCTGTCAAGGCAGCATCTTTTTCCTGCCAGGCCTTTTCAGGGGGACTTGTTTTACTCCACCAAGGTCAAAGAGAGCATCTTTTACACACACTGCCTTCAGCTCAGGAGTCAGGGGCTTGCGGGATTGGCTTGGGAGCAGCACACATTTTAACCGTTTCCTCCCCCCAAACCCCAAGTTTTTAGTATAAAACAGGACGAGTCACAGTGGTGTGAGGCAGAACTGCTGCTGAAAGCACAGGGAGGGGGTTCTGGTGCTCAGAAATCTGCCCATATTTCCCTTTGCTGTCTCAGTGGCTGGTGTGTGACATACAGGCTCCTGCAGGTAACTCGCCACGACACGGGGAACCCGACGGGGTGTGTGCATTTATCTCCTGATAAATGGATCCTCCTGGCAAACAGCACGTTTTGACCAATGTCTCTTCCCCTGAGCTATGGTACAGGTCACACCGTGCAGGGCTGGGACTTTTTAACTCGGAGTGGGTTCTCTCTCTCTGACACAGAACCATTAAAGAGTGACTCACTGAAGGAGTAAATTTAGGAGCTGGTTTGTGATGTGAAAGGCAGGGCTACACAAAGAATCAAAAATACCTTGTATATGCTAATGTGTGCAGACCCAAGCGTGGCACTTAGCAAGTTTACTGAGGTTCAAACCTCAATTAGTGAGGTTAAGCCACAATTCCTTTAAACCTCATTGTGCTCAAATTTTAATTCCCATGTTGTATCAGATGAACAGTACTGGTCAGAATTGTGTCTCTCAACCACACGGGCTGATCAGTGCATGCAGTGTTAGTGGAATGTACTGTTGAAATTTGCTGTATTTCTGTAAAATACAGGTATTTCCTCTCCTTTCCCCCCCTTTGCCCACACCTGGAGCAGAAGCAGGACAGGGCCCATGTGTTCTGCTGTGTGCCTCCTCTCTCTGCCATGTTCAGCCTTCTTCCTAAACTCCCAATCTCGTGCAAATTAATTGAGAACAAGTGCAGGTACCAGCTCTGCACCAAAAGGCTCTGCTGCACCTGCCATGTCGTTTTCCTCTCTGCCAATCTGTGCAAGATGAGCACGCACGAGATCCTTTAGCTCTTTAACAGCCCTGTTCTTGGAATATATTTCCCCAGGAATGCAGAGCAGTGTTGGTGCCGTTTCAGACTGTGTATTTTGTGATTAGTGGTTCGTAAGTGATGTTTTGCTTAATGATCTAACATCTGTTCAAGGAGGTTTGTTTTTGTAACTTCCCCACCTCCCGCTGAACGAATGCCAGAAACTTGTCCCTTTCCTCCAAGTCAATCAAAGCACTAATTGCATCATAATCAGGGGAAGCAGCAGTGACTGCTCAAGTGCTGAAGACTCAGCAATCAACTCACAACTCTCTGTGTGGAGAGAGAGAGAGAAAGGCTCCCTGTGCCGAGATGGGAGTTTCCTGCAATCCCGATTCCTTGAGCTGACTCTGGCTTTTTTTTTTTGGGGGGGGGGGGGTTTGCAGGGAGATGACTGCACCATCACCTGCATGGCAGGAACCTATGGAACCAACTGCTCCTCGGTTTGTAACTGCAAGAACGACGGTGCCTGTTCCCCTGTGGACGGTCTGTGCTACTGCAAAGAAGGTAAACAAAATTGGGATTTAGCCATTGGCGGCAGTTTGGCATCAGCGCTGCTCCCCTTCTGAAGTGGCACAGCTGTGCAGTCAGTAACTCCACTATTTTCTCGTCTGCCCAAGTATCCAAACTCAACAGGGGCTTGACTGGATGTTTTGTCTCTGCCTTGAGCAGGGGCCAGACGTCCCTGCTGTGCTGCAGGAACAGGGCACAGAGCTGAGTGTGTTGACAGAGCCACAGCTCCTCTCCAGAGGAAATGCAGAGCAGCCCCCAGATCGTTAGGATGGTTTTCTTTATCCCTTTGCTGCCCTGTTTCCCCAGGATTCCAAAGCCCCTGTTCTCCTTCCCTGCCTGGAGTGGCACACTGGGCACAGGAGCAGGGGCAGCTTCCTGCCTGTCTTATCTCCATCCCAGTGCTCTGTTCTGTGCCTGGCCTTGTTTATCCTCACCAGACCTGCAGATTGCCTGCCCATCTCAGCCTTGGGCTGGTCCCAGTCCTGCTGCTCTGGGCTCCTGGCTGATCCCACCCTCAGCTGGGACTGTGTGTGTGTCCCTGGCTCTGTTGTGCCCTTGGTGCCACCCTCAGCTGCCCATGCTCCCTGTGCCCTGACACTGGGACACCCCAGCCAGGGTGTCCTCTGCAGGACACCTCTGCAGGTGTCCTCTGTCTCCTGAGCCTGCAAGGGCTCTTTTATCTGAGGAAACAAGAAGTCCTACCTGCTCCAGAGTCTCTCTGCAAGTCTGACATCTTTCCTTCCCCCCTGTGTCCATAATTCCCTCTCTGACACATTTCCTTCTTCCATGTGTCCATAATTCCCTCTCTGACACATTTCCTTCCCCCATGTGTCCATAATTCCCTCTCTGACACCTTTCCTTCCCCGCTGTGTCCATAATTCCCTCCTATACCTGGTGGTGATCATCACCCATGCCGTGATCCCCTGAGAAACCTTCGCTGCTCCACAGCACAGTGTCTCCTGTGTTCCCAGCATGAGCTGTGCCTGTCTGACACACACAAGCCCTAAACCAGAAGTGAGGCAAATACCGATAAAATCTGGCATTTCCAACATGAATTAATGGCTCACTGTAGAACCCCATTTAATGAGGGATTATAAACCATGAGTTACTGCCCAACTCCATTACATACAGCTGCAGTGTAATGAAAGTCATTGTGTGGCTGGTAGTTAAGATTTGAGCCTTAATGGCTAGAAATGATGGCCTTGGTCTTTTTTTAGGTGTAATAAGCTGCTTTGTATTAAATAGCATTGTCAAAAAATAAAAAAAAAGAAAAAAAGAAATGGGAGGCAAGAAACAGGCAGCATCAAATGGCAAGTTTCCTACATCCCCAGGGGTCAGCAGGTCTGCAGCCTGACAGGCAGCACAGCCTCTCTTGTGCTGCCCCAGCAGTTCCCAGAGAGGCACCAGAGACCTTCATCTGGGCACATGACACCTACATCCATCCCCCTCTGCATTTACCGATGCTGGGAGATGAAGCTGGGAGGTCATAATGGAAGGGTCGGTCTTTGACCCCCAAACAGTCTTAATTTACACTAAGAAACCGGTCCTAAAATCACAGAGCTGCAGCTGCCTTTCTTGCTGTCTCTGCCTCACTTGTTTTTTTTCATGAAAACATCCCAAATGCTGTTTGTCTCTCCCGTTTCTTTAGGGTGGCAAGGAGTGGATTGCTCTATTCCATGTTCAAGTGGGAGTTGGGGTCTCAACTGCAACCAGACGTGCTCCTGCACCAACGGAGCTGCCTGCAGGCCAGCAGATGGCTTCTGCCTCTGCTCCCCGGGATGGCAGGGGGAGTTCTGTGACCAGCCCTGCCCTGTGAGTATCACTGGGGTGCCCTTGCACCCCCTTTAAACCACGGCCCTGCTGAACCCAGAGCAGGGCAGCGCCTCGTTTTGTCTGGGGCTGTCTGAAGGAAATCGTGTGTGAATAACAGATTGGGGGTCTAGCAGCTGAGTGGATGTATTATACTTTGCATTATATTTTATCAGAGCTGTGGCTGTGTTATCTGCATTTTCTGGAGCATCATTTTTTAAAGTGATTCTTCATTTGGTTCTCTATAAAAACATTGGGCACCGAGTCTCTATCTGCTCTGTATGCTAATTTAAAAGATGCGACTCAGCATTAAGAGGGACATGATAGATGCTTTTGCACATTTCAGAACAAAAAAAACCTGATTACTGAGAGGGCTTTTTTTTTTTTTATGTGTATTTTTGAAGGATGGAACATATGGTCTCAACTGCAGCGAGCGCTGTGACTGTAACCACGCCGATGGGTGTGACCCTGTCACTGGGTACTGCTGCTGCCTGGCAGGCTGGACAGGTAAAATTAAGAATTACCTTGGGGCTTTGTTGATTTGGGGGGGCTTTTGTTGAGTTTGTTTTGCTTTGCTGTTGCATTGTTTATAGCGCTGGACTTGTGACTGCGAACTTTTAAATAATGGATTGAGGCAGGATCAGCTGAACTCGCCCATATCTGAATCGCTGGTGATGGTGACAATAATTGGCACTCATTAAATTTGTATTCAGATGAGTCAAAGATGGCTCCAAACCTGGAGCCCAGATGTTGGCCTTCTGGAAAAGCATCCTCAGGAGAAATGCAGATCAGCTGGAAAGCCTGCAGAGTTTTTCTCCTTGAACAGCCCTTTCCACGGGGGTGCAGCTGTGGGACGGTGGGTCCCGGGCACATCACACCTGGGATGCAGATGGGGCTTTTCTGAATGCTCAGGGTCGATACAGCTGCTCCATCATGCAGAACTCCGAGTTTTCCCCATTTTCCTACGCTTCTTGTCACGCAGAAGGGCAGTTACAGGGAGCAGGTCAGTGCTGCTGTGACAGAGCTCTCGTGATGACCCAGCGGCAGGGAGGAATATTCCGTGAAGCCGGAGAGTCCAGGCTGGAGATCTCAGTGCAATTAGACCTGCACTTGACTCCACACTGATGGTCTCTTTGCCAGCTTTTGACAGCTGACACAACAGCAGTGGGGGGCAACTTATTGACCCAACCAGTATTTCACACTTAGCTGCCTAAAATGCTGGTTAATGTCCCTCTGCTCTCTGGTAAGGCCCTGGGGGAGATAAAGTTCTAATCTTGCCCATAACTGCAGAACAACCAGTGGCACTGGCAGTCCAAATGTATTTACATTAACAGCGAGTCATTTGGAACATTTAATTGTTCTTTAAAGAAATACCAAGCTGAAGGAATGTGTGGAGCAGGGCAGGCTGCTCAGGCAGCCGGGGTTTGGGATCCTATCACCCTTCCCCTTCTGTTTGTGATGGAGAGGACACACTCAGCTCCCAGCAGCATGAAGCAAAAGCAGTGAAATTATGCCCAGAACATGCAGTGGAAATAATCTTTTAAGGAATAAATAAAATGTAAAAATAGGAAGTTCTGCACACTGCTTACAACAAAGCTGCTTTTTAAGGATACGGGGGCCTGCATTGAAAAGGGCATTTTTCCTCCAAGAAAATCCATTTTATAATCTCAGTAGTACCCCCTCCTCCATCCCCTTGCCTTCCTCGCTGGCTGGAGTGCATTCATCTCTCTTTGCCATCAATATATCCATCTATCAGGCTTTAAAACTCTCCTGTGCATTATTGATGATCAGCAGAGAAACAGCTGGTGGGCTTTTCCTGTAGCCATTGTGAGTTTCTTCAAGGGAGAAAATGGTTTTTAAAAGCACAATAAATTGAAGAGAGATATTTATACACACTTATTCTTAAAGTTTATTACACATCCTTCTGGGTGTAGCATTCCAGGGGAAAGAAACCGCAGGAAATGAACTTTTGCAGGCTGTGCAGACTGAAAATGTGACTTTTTCTCAAAGGCATTTACAACAAATACCTTGTGCTTACTCCCGGGCACACCTGTAAATGAACTTCAGATGCAGATTCTAATTACTCCAAGTAAAGGTAAAAGTAATTTCTGATGTCCTCCTCCTTTTAATTTCCATCTTGGGCAAGATAAATGTGGATCACCTTGCAGGGGATTAGCTGCAACCTAAGCACTTTATCCTCCAGTGTGCCCCTGTAGCTCTGGAACTCCTTCAGGATCACATTTCAGGGAGGAAAAATATTATGTTCATATCCAGGACCAAGTTGGAGTTAAGATGTTGACAGGGCCACGTAAGGTGGAAATGTTGATAGACAGAGCCAACACGTGTTTTGTCAATTCTCCTTCCAGTGTTTTTTCCACTTGGCTTAGCACCAGACACGAGGATGAATTCTGCTCATACTGGTTTGAAAGTATGTAATTTAAGAAACTCTTCAGCTAGATAATTATATTTTCATATTAAGGAGTGTGGCATCAGTGAAAGATTAATCTTATCTGCAGTTGTTGTGAACTGGGCCATGATGTGTATTGCGGTGCATTTTATAAATATGAGGTGATAAATAATTCAGGCTGAGATTTTTGCTTTCTGGGTTTGGTGCTAATTAGGCATGGCCTGAAAAAGATCAGAAAAGTTCAGGATCATGGAACATCTGAAGGTTTTCCTGCCCACTCACGCCAGACAGAGAATTCACGTGGCTTTTTCTGGTTCTAATGGCCACAAAACTTCCTCTGAAACCAGCATATTCTGTGTGTTCAGCCCAGACGTGGGACTCCCTCTTGATGTCGGTGTTTTATGTAAAGATCAAGGGGAAGATTGAACCCATTTTTCTTTAAAGTGGTTTCAAGATGTTCCTCCTATAAACCTTCAGGGGCTGATGGATGGGAAGGGAATGGAGGAGGACTGGGAGAGGAAGGAAAAAGGCCTGTCAAGGAGGAGCCCACAATGTAAGTTAATAGCAGTCTGCCGTCCTTTTATGATGTCATGATTGCCACCCATCATGACTCTTATTGAGGACAGTGACCTTCTGTGGGTCCCAGCTGAGGGAAGGTAATTTTCAGGAGCTGAGTGTAACTGGCAGATGGGGAGATGATGAAGAGATTCCCACGAATCAACCAGGAGATCACAAAGCTGTGCAAAGCAGCTGGATGCATAAATAAGCACACTGGCAACAAGCTGCTCCGAGACGTGCACGTTCCCTTTCCACCCAGTGCCGTGGGGAATTGCACGTGTGCAGCCCAGGGCAGGAGTTAGATCAGACCTAGAGATGATTGAACCCTGGTGCTGCTGCTGGAAATTACCCAGCCAAGCACATGGAATCACAAATGCCTTGGGAGGAAGCACAGCGAGCAGGACATTTGTGCTTCAAAGTCAGAAATCACGTTGGATAAAGGCTCTCATGTGGTGCGAAGTGAAACTTGTTCAAATGTTGGCCAAAATCAGATCTGTGACCTGGTGCAGAGGTGAGTTCCCTCCACGTGAGGGAAGTGTGGGATGCAGCAACACCGAGGGCTCAGCCTTGCATGGGATGGAGTTCTGCAGCTTGCACCAGCACTGCATCCACTTAACTCACCTGTACATCACATAACTCACCCTGGACATCCAAAGGAGAGACGTTCATATCTACTGCTGATCTAAAAAGGAAGAGTGTAGCCCTCAGAGGATCAAGTCTTGACTGATCAGACTGGTTTCTAAAGATTAATGAGGGTGTCTGGCTCCCGCTCTGCCGTGCGTTTCATACACGGGCACTTCTGTGCTTGCAGCTCTGCGTGTGCCACAGGTACCTTGGGAGCTCCCAGCACACCAGCCGTTTGTGGAAGAGGTGTTATTTTGTGTACATTTAGGTTAGAACGAAAATGCTTGAAGCTGGAGTGCTGCGGTGCTAATTGCACGGGGTTAATTAGGGCTCCTGCACACACGGAATCCGTGGAGGGAAGGGAAGCGCAGGAACGCTGGGTGGTGGGGCAGGTCCTGGGAGCCCTTTGCAAGCAAACATGACAATGTTAAGGTCATAAATGTCAGTTAGCCTCCTCTTACTTAATAAATAACCTGAAACCGGCCAGGAAAGGACCGGCTGCCCTGGTGGCCTTGCAGGGTGAGCAGGGAGGACGTGGATGGCAAAGTTCCTGTGGTGGGTGCAGTGCTGGTGGCCCTGGAGGTGTGGGGTTTGCGGGACGAGCTGCAAACCCCCTCGGGCTGGTCCTGCCTCCTCGAGGGGGATGGGGGGAGCTGCTGGCAGCACGTTTTGTGCCAGAATCAGCTTCCTCACAGGTACCAGCTGGATAAAATCACGTAGCCTTCAAACCTCAGGAATTAACTCAGCCAGAGCTGCTGGCCTGGCTTTTCATTTCTGGAGGTGTTTCCTTTGTGCCTCAGCCAGGTTGGGGCTCTCTGGGGAGGCAGAGCCAGCTGATGCCCTTCCTGACTCCAGGACCTGGGTCCATCCTCTTCCCAGTCCTGCTCCCAGACAGGTTTACAGAAGGAAAGCCCCAGGACCGGCTGCTCTTCACACCCAGCCCTGCTCCTGCCTGTGATGAGTCTGTGCTTCAGGTTAATTGGGGCAAGTGTGTCTTTTGTAACCTTTCAGCTGTTACAGGGGGAATTAAATAACAAGCGATCTGCAGGGGGATATGCTCGTGCCTCTAAATGTTAAGGTCAGTTAAAATCCTGTTTATCTGAATGCCTTTAATCTGAAATGCTGTCTTATCTGCAGCTTGTTCTGCCTCTCTCTTTTTGTCTGGCGCTCTGGTTTTGCAGATGCAATCTCGGTTATCCACTGAGCTGGTTAATCAGAGGCTTCTCTCAGTAGGCAAAGCCAAAGTTTGCTCAGTTTATTTTAACATCCCAAAGATGTGTGGGGAAAAGGGAGCGCTGCTGTGAGATGGGAAACATAAAAGGGTGCATCCCATGGTTAATTATAAAAGAAGCCCCCGTAGATTTTCCTTAATTAATCAGGATGGCAAACACAGGTATGGAAATGATCTGTGCTGAGGAACAAACATCTTGTGATTGCCTTGCTGCTTTTCACCTTCAGGCTTCACTCGTGTCCCATAAGAGCAGCCTCCCCCTTTGCTGTTGGATACAGGAAATCAAAATACATCTTTCCCTGTCCTTTACAACCTCCATAACTCGCACCCATTGCCAGCAACATTGACCCTAATTGTCTCTTATCGTGTCCAGACCTGCAGCCCAGTAGTTGTGGGAGCCTGGAGCTGTAGGATTTCCACGGGTGACGGTCTGAGGGAGTTAATGGGGTCACCAGTGTCACTGGCCAGGGGTCAGGGGAGCTCCGAGGGAGGATGTGGTGGTGAGCATTTGCAGGCTGCCAGTGACACCTGCACTGTCACTCAAACACAGGAACATGTTTCTTCCCTCCTGTGGACACATTAATTCAGCAAAACTGATAAGCCTGTTACTCAAGGGGAGGCCTTTTTGAATTTTAAAGAAACAGTGACCACTTTGACGGGGAGCTGGAAGGTATTTTTAACTTCCCT